CCCCAAAACCCCAAAACCCCAAAACCCCAAAACCCCTTTAGGGCTATTTTGAATTGAAAATAAATTTTCTATGAGTAAAACCACAGGTTAAATCTATCTCTGTCTGATGATGAGAAATAGATGTTTGCTATCATTTCATATATGAAAAATTAACCAAAACTTATTAGCCAAACTATTTGCATCTAGCAAAGAGGTCTCTGACTTTAAGTGAGAAGATAGGAATATTCGGTGGCACAATAGCTTTTGACTTTGTTTAAAAAACAAGAAATGTAGCAAGTTCTCTATAATTTTGGGCTTATCAAGATTATTTCTAATAAAGGAAGATCTTCTCTGAAGACAGGCACTCTTTAGCACCTTGAGATAGAATCTAAGCACGAAGATTTTTTACTAAAAATTTGAATGTTTTAGCCTCAAGCAAACAGAGATAGTTTTGAGCATACAATTATTGCAGATATTTAGGATTACCAGTGCTCTACTTCAACAGAAAAGCCTGCTTCTGTGAACATTGACTGGACAGTGGTTTCTCAAAGGTCAGTCTCTTCAACCTTAACCTCTTGGAGTCATTTATGGAGAGAGTAATGCTTGAGTATTTTTATAATCTCATGAAGAGCTTTTAATGAAACTTCAGTATGGTCTTCTTCAATCTTCTCATCTTCAGAAGGAAGTAACCCGGGAAGGCTGCCACTCAGGAATATAGTTTCCAGTTGTGGATCTGTGCTTGGAGTTTCACTAAGACTTGGCTCCTCAGTAGCATCTATCTTTCAGTTCATTATTTTTAAAGTGTTCAGAGCCAGACTGCTCAGAATTATTTGAGAGAAGAAGGAAAGTGGGATAGTGAAGCTATCTAAATGAACTTCTTCGGTAATATTTGGGATACAGTTACAGATTCCAGGGAGTATATCCTCAGGGTAATATTTCTCGACTCAAGAGAGCTCCAGTTGCTCTCATCCTCCTGCTGTTGCGTTAGGGAGAAATTTGTCAAGAGCTTCTTGGTCCTCCTTTTTGCATTTTTCAAGGTCATTTACAGCTAAGAAGTAGTAGGAAGGAAACTTATGCCCACAAGCCTCTTGAATGAAGTTGACGTTTAGAATGTCCTTCATAGACAACACTAGATCAAAGGTTTGATCTATCGGTCTGTAATTATTGAAGATTTTCTCCCTGATTTCTTCTAGTCTCTGTTTGTCCTCCATTTTCAATTTTTGTTAAAATTTAGGGGTTTTGGGGTTTTGGGGTTTTGGGGTTTTGGGGTTTTGGGG